CTAACTATTAGGTTGCATCCTAAACAGTTTAAGCAAATTACATAAAGTTATTATATTGTCAATTAATCGCTCATGCCATAACTTTTCTTAAACAGGTGAGTTTTTAATAATGTTTTGAACAGATCAACATCGGAACAAGTCTTAATTTCAATTGGTAGTTGGTTCCAGATTTTCGGAGCAACAGTCTGAAACGCTCTTGGGTGTGATCTTGTAGATCCGACGGGTAGGTGTAAGGAGGAAGTTTTTCTGCTACTCGAACTAACAAATGTTACTAGATCACACAGATATGCAGGAGCAACACCATTGACTGCTTTGAAAATCAGTAAGCATAACTTAAACTCAATCCTCTCCTTCACCTTGAGCCAATGAAGGGATTTGAGCTTCTCCTGATCCTCGACTGAGTCTCTCTTCTTTAATCCAAAAACCAGACGGCATGCTCGGTTCTGAATGTTCTGCAGCTGCGTAATTGAGGCTTGACTACAACCATAGTAAAGTGCATTGCAGTAGTCAAGCGATGAGATTACAATTGCTTGAGTCAGTGTTCCCATCTGTTTGGTTGTGAGGAATGTTTTCATCTTAGCAAGGTCTCTTAGTTTCAGAAAACACGATGTTTTAAGTTGCTTGATTTGCTCACCAAAGTTTAGTTGAGAGTCAAGACGAAATCCGAGGTTCTTTGCAACAGGTGACAGCCTGATACACGTCTCAGAGTTAACAAACACGCCCCCTATAGACAGCTGCTGGAGAACAAGCGGTGTCCCAAAGACAAGAATCTCAGTTTTTCCTGCATTGAGCTGTAGATAATGTTTTTTCATCCAGTCATTAATTTCTTGGAAACATTTGGGAACATCGTTGATAAGGACTGTGGGCTCCTCGTTTGGCTTGAAACTTTTATACAGCTGATGATCGTCGGCGTAACCCTGGATGGAGAAGTTCAAATCATGTGCTGCTGAGTACAAAGAGCGAATGTAGATCTTGAACAGGACTGGACCCAGCACAGAGCCCTGTGGGACTCCAAACTTAAGGCCAGAGGGGGGGTAAAATTGGTTTTTCCAGTTTTCACATATTTGATCAGAGCTGCTGGAGACAAACAAGAAGAAAAAAACCAGACCGAAATCTGACCTTGCGTTTTTAAGATATCGCGCGCCAAATATTGAGGTTTACTTGTAATTACATGTAAAACTTTAACTTAAACTGTAAAAAGTTAAAAGTCCCTTAGTTGAGAATACTGGCCGAACCCAGAAGCTGAAACTTGGCACAGTTGTTCCTTGGGCTGTCACCCACAATTCTATTGTACAAAATTTTGATATTTGCCTCTGTTCTCGAAATATGAGGTTAACTTTACCCCAAATTCGACACTTTTCGAAAAATTGTCGAATTTGGGGTAAAGTTAACCTCATATTTCGAGAACAGAGGCAAATATCAAAATTTTGTACAATAGAATTGTGGGTGACAGCCCAAGGAACAACTGTGCCAAGTTTCAGCTTCTGGGTGTGGCCAGTATTCTCAACTAAGGGACTTTTAACTTTTTACAGTTTAAGTTAAAGTTTTACATGTAATAACATGTAAACCTCAATATTTGGCGCGCGATATCTTAAAAACGCAAGGTCAGATTTCGGTCTGGTTTTTTTCTTCTTGTTTGTCTCCAGCAGCTCTGATCAAATATGTGAAAACTGGAAAAACCAATTTTACCCCCCCCTCTGGCCTTAATCACTATCTCATAAGATTCCTCATTTCCAACTTTAATCGTTTGACATCTACCTGTGAGGAAGCTGCTGAACCATTTCCAAGCTGTCCCTGTTATTCCCAACTCATTTCTGAGGATGTTCAGTAGTTTGCAGTAGTTTGCAGTGGTCAACTGTATCAAAAGCTGCGCTGAGATCTAGGAGAAGAACAACAGTTGCCTTGCTTTCTGTAGATGCAATGAGTAGATCGAACTAATAACTGTTCCAATAATTTATTTGTGCATAAATTATTTCATGATAATAAACCTAAGCTATACAGCTATTATACCTTCATGTGTTTATAATTTCAGGTATTTGTTATGCACCATGACCACGACAAAACAGCCAAAAGGCAGAAAATAACAGAATCTTGGGACACGTTTGCTACCAGTGTGAGGGATTTAGCAGAAGCAGAGTGGTATTATTCTAAAAGCCAACTGTGTCAATTATTGAAGCTGCCGTACGTTATTGAAGACTATCCAACCAAAGTTGTATGGCTGGCATTTTTGCCACCCATATTCTATTTGGCAATTTTCAATTTCTTTGCATTTTGGCAGTGGTTTTTGGGAGCATCAACGGAACCATGGATTCATCTTCCATCATTAGAAATCAAATTGTACGGATGTAACCCCCATCAGATCATATCAAGGTACACCAGCCCATTTTTGGACACAATCGCTGCAATACCTTACTTAGTTCACTTTCTTCTAGTTCTTTTGTATCCACCCTACTGTTACATAAATCGCAAAAGACTTGGATCTCTAGAGCCAGCCTTGAAAAGTCTGTGGTGTGGTGGCATTGTATGCTCCCTTTCGGTGTTGACTCAACTGTTTTTTCCAACTGCTCCACCATGGTTTAACGAGTCTGCTGTGTACGATGCAGATGGTAAGCTACTGTACATGGCCTACAACGAAGCTGGTTTTCAGCGAGTGGATGCACAATATGGCTATCAATTGTTTCATGAAATGTATTCAAAATCTCCTATCACGTTTGGCTCTTTTCCCTCTCTCCATGTCGCATTTCCAACTGTGATTTTGATGAATGGATCCTGGATCAGCTGGAAATTTGGACTTTTTCATGTTTGCTTGATCTCTTGGGCAGCTCTATATTCACACCATCACTACCTCATTGATGTCATTGGTGGATTCATGCTTACATTCTTTACATATCAAATTTATCATAAAGTTTGGAACCCTTTCCGGAAAATAGGGGGAATGTGTGAGAGCAGAACGGAGCTTTTGAGCGAAGGGGTGTAGAATTCGTCCTGTGGAATGGTTAAAACTGCTAAAACTTTGCCGGCCAGTTCTATGTTGTGGAAATCGAATTTCGTTCTGATATTTGATAATTTCATGTCTGAACAATTTTTATGTCATCACCTTTTTATACAACATGGGAAAATGATGAACTTAGTTGTTATATAAACTTTTTATGGCCACCAATATGTTTTGTATGTACTATACGTATCATATTTTTAATTGTCCATGGAATTTTATGCGTACTCAATAGTCCTCCCCTTTAATTAATATATTTACGTACTATTTATTAAGATCAAAATGATGTATTTACCTCACTTAACAAGTTCCACAAGTTACAAGCTTTTTGTTTCTTTTATAATTTTTAATGGAGATGTCATGTAATTGATAAAACGTTGTGTAACCACGTGATCTTTCGGCAAACTGAAACGATCATTAAATGTTGGCTAAACATTGGGATTAGCAGTTTTTTGAACTAACGGAAAATTTGTTAAGCTGGTACTGTAGTTTTAATCACATTGAGAAAAGATCATTTTTTTCGAGAAAGGAATTATATTTTCTTTAAAAATGTAGTAATGCTTTAATAGGCTAGACTATATGTGATTCAATTTAATTTAAATAGTATGCACTAACTTATTGCTCGTGATAATTATTCATTTAAGGGAGCATATGATTGATCTTTGCACGATATTTGAAATTTTTTTATGATAAAATCACTTTTTATGGATATAAATAGCATTATATGATTATCTATCGAATTCTATTTATTGTAAGAAGACAGCTTGAAATTTATAATTTAACATGAGGTTATTTTCTGAATTATTGATCTTATTGCAATTGGCTGAGCTAGTTAATATGCTGTTATGGTACTGGTAATGATATCTCTGAGCCACTTTTATCATGTAACGGCAAAGTACTGAACGATAGGTACATTAGCGCGCATTTTATTTTAATCAATCGTATTATTCTAGTATAGTATAGCATGTAGGTCAAATTAGGCGAAATTTCTTTCTCTTAAGCTTTAGACGGTACTCATACTGGTAACACATTCTTTAATGCCATATTAGTAAATAACTACACTCTGATTTTGTAAGTAGTAAGTATGATGGCAATTATAATTTGGTGATAATTTTCTTTGAAACTCATATTGTATTGATTCTTTGGTAAACTTATTTTAATTGAAGATATTAAGAATGTTGTACTTTCTATGTTATTTAGTTTTTATCAATTGATAGCACTTAGTTGATTAAGTTGTAATTAGAAAATGTTCGTTCAGTAACATAGAACCATGCGATTCCTTAAGTCGGCACATTAAACTTGGTAAGTTTCACTGAAGCACACGATAGTTAATTAATTAATTATTTAATTAACTCAAAAGATTAATATTCGAATCCCGTGAATGATGGTTGCCTTACTTTCATAATCATGTATTATTCCCATAATCAGTAATCATGTGTTGTCCCCTTTGTAATAATCTATTCTCTGTGAAAATGTGCACAATATTTGCACAATATTTGCACAATATTTGCACAATATTTGCACTATATTTGCACTATATTAATTGCACCATATTTGCACTATATTGGCACAATATGTGGACTATATTTGCACTATATTTGCACAATATTGTACACACTGCCGTTGATACAATGTGTGCGTACTGTATGATATTTTCTATGTAATTTTGATTGGTAAAGTACTATATAACTTATAATAATAATATTGAATGAAAATAAGTTCGATGTGTAGTTATAAAGCTGATTGGTGAATAGCAGTCATGTGATACCGATTAATATTTGAATGCCTTGATGATTTTCTAGTTTCTGAAATTAACCTGTGTTTTCATTCGTTTAAGATTTATTTTCTAAACGAGACTATATTTCCCGGAAAAATGTGCTAGCTCGATACTTAAAACACATTCTTAGGCGATCAATGAAATTTTGAGTATAACTTAAACTTAAATAATAATATGCTAACTATATCAAAAATGTAAACTATAACGTGTAAACTATTTATTGATAGGGCATAGCGATGATCACTGGACTCGATTAAAACGTTGGAACCTTTCTTGTCTCTCAATCCTACTACAGGTAATATTTTTTATCAATTTCTCAAAACTTTTCCGGTAAATTAACAACAGAAAATCTCGTTTCCCGTTTTGTCATATTCCCGAGAACAAATATTACTCTATACTGTCTTACTCATCGTCAAATTTCACATTCTCACGTGCTTTCTATCTTTTCGAGAAATGAGATTGATTTTTTGGGTTTCATTGGCTCACGTGGTATGCGATAATAACTCCAATCAAGTTCGTGTAGACTATAATCATAATACAGGACTACTCATGAAGTGTCAATTACAGTGTCAATTACAGAGATCCTATTCTTTTTAACTTGCATTTTTATTGTGAAAAGGAACACTTTATCTTAGACACACCATTCCATTACCACAGTAATACAGGTTATGTTGCATTACTAGATGTGTTTAAATATAACACTATTAAGAGTTTAGTGACTAATACTAACAGTTTAGTCACTTCATCATCTGGTGCTCTGAGCAGTTACCGAGAAACCATTACAGATTAGTAAGAACAGATACATTGTTGCAGCTCCATATCATGTTACCTGAAATACAAGAACACGTGACTTGGTCGTATAGTCACGTGACTTGGTCGTATAGTCACGTGACGTGATCTTATGTTACATATAATCCCTCTTGCAGCGCCCCTGTATTTCTCTTTGTACTTCTTCTCTCTTGTTGTATTTTCTTGAGGTAGAGACTAGAGAGTCATGTGTGTTGGCGCCCTGCCAAAACAACATCTATATCAATTATCCCAAAAAGTGTGTGGGTTCTTGTGTGTTTAATTTAATATACATATATATATAATACATATATAATATACATGTACTTTTGGACTGTTTTAGCTGCGACAGTGCAATTCCAGCCGACGCGAAGGTCGGGTAACACTAGTGTTTTCTTATAATTTGGAGTAGCTGTTGAAGGTCGGGTAACACTAGTGTTTTCTTATAATTTGGAGTAGCTGTTGAACGTCGGGTAAGACTAGGGTTTTCTTATAATTTGGAGTAGCTGTTGAAGGTCGGGTAACACTAGTGTTTTCTTATAATTTGGAGTAGCTGTTACTCAGGAACAATAAAACCCCCATTTACCGCGGAGTTTGGGAGAAAGGAAATTGCCGCGGGAAATCGGGGTTTGCGGTAAATCGGGGTTTTGATTGCTTACATAATGTTTTCATTCCTTCTTGTTGGCTGCTACTAAGGTACTTTCTTTCTTGTTGCTGATAAGAAACAGGAATACCGACACTCGTGGAATGCTTGCAGAGTTAGGTACCTTGGGCTTCTTATCGCAAAGTTTTAATAGTGTTAAAATTCCTTATGACTCATCAAGTTTCTGGCAAAATGTCAACTTAAGTCATTCTCAGTATTTCTCTTTTTCTCAGAATTTTTCTTTTTCGTTTCTTTGCGGACTCGTTAAACTTCTTAACAGACATTCGCTTGAAATGAGTGAGTGGTTCGGAGCTCGGACTGTTCTTTTTGAGTTGCGTAGTGTTTTAATTTGATTAATTTCATCGTTTTAAATGTCCAACGTTCCTCTTGGCTTTTCACTGGGTAAACAAAAAACGTAGATTAAACAAACAGAAGTGTTTCTTAAATTTTCTTAAATTTAAAAACAAAATAATGTCAACGTAAACATATCTTGTAATAATATGTGAACCTAAGATAACTTTGTCCCAAGAAAAAGTGAATTGTTCAGGAATTGCGAAGTTACCATGAAAAACGTTATAAATAGGTTAATAAAGGTAACACTACTTCTTGTTATAAATAAAAATCGGACATGAAAATTAAAATGAAAGTCACGCAAGGTTGCCCGACAGAGATGGCATTTCTAGATGGTAATGATGGTAATGACATGCCTATATTAGGGCATGTTCATATTATGCTCCATTCCCCTTACAACACAGCATATATTCGATCTCTCTCAGCTCTCTTTTCTAAGACGTCAAGCGTGTATGACGTCACGTCTCAACTCTCACGAGACATGACGTCACATGATATGACACGTTGCATGACGTCACGAGACTTGGTGAGTGCAGCTAGTGAATAACGTGACGTCATACAGGAGTGTGGGTGTCTGTGTGGGCGCGTGGCCCTGGTTACTGGTTAGAGACAGAGATCACTTACCGAACTGTAGTTTGTGTGTGTTGAGGTTCGTCTTGAAGTGGCTTATTTTACTGTTCTGTTTATAAGTTGTGGCATATATGCTATATATTTTGTTTGTTGTTTTCCAGTTTTTTATCCTGTCTTCTCACATGTTTAAACATTTTCTTTGTTTCGTTTGTTAAAATAATTTTATAAATGAATATTAAAACTTAACAAATTCTGACCTCACAACTCTGACTTGAACAACTTCACTGCAACTACTGGGATTGTTTAGGACTCACAGCATCAAGATGTCACTTTAAACTGCAACACTAGATTAAAGCGACCGGTCATGCATATAATTAATACATGCATCATTAATTATAACTCGTTGCCATACGACTCTACGCGATATCATGACGTTTAAAAAGACCGGTCAATCTTTCTAGACTCGTGATGATATAAACTATAGATTTCAGAGACTCGTGACTATAAACTGTGTTTCATTTGTTCATGTTCAAGGAAATCTTCCTTTTTAAAACGGATTCCGCAGAAATCTTCACAAACTCGTGACTTAATGGATCCATTCATTAAGCGTGTCTGTAGCTCCTTCAGTCCGTACATCTCGTTCTGATCTCGTTATATCGTATTACAGAGGCGTGACGTCACAACCATTATATACCGGCCTCTAGGCCTTTATAATAGGCCTTTATTTTGTGATCTGGTAGGAAGTTGTTATCTGGCTCGGTGTTCTGGAGAACGGGATCTGTACGTGGGGCAAAGTGTCAACCACAGAACCCTCTTTTTGATCCTTAAACTAATTACAACAACAGAATTTGTTTCACTTCTAGATAAAAAGCTCGGATATGCCATTTTTAAAGGATTTCCGAAGAAATCACCAGAATTTTACTGTGCACTTTGCTGACGTCACGTGGTGTGAAGTTACGTGGTGTGACGTCATACGGATTTACCGTGTCCTATCACGCTCTCTGATTCCTCTCTCTTTCTTCGTGCATCATCACCTGTCTCTCCTTGGTCGGCTAATATGGCGTAACATTTCAATAATCTTAGTTGCCTTTTTTCTTTAGAAACTCACCCCATTACATAGCATGATAATAATCCTGCATAATAACTCTCATGTCTCTCAAACAAATAGTGACACCTCATAATGTGAGCCATAACTCTCAGTCACTCTCCGTCACTCACTGCTTCCCGAGCTAGGTGACACGTGCCCTGACTTCGTCGTGTCTCTTGCTGTCACGTGACGTCACTTCGTGTCGCGTGATTTAGTCATGTCACGTGACGTCACTTCGTGTCACGTGACGTCACGTGATTTGGTCGTGTCTTTAGGTCTGTCAAAGCTCGCTTCTCTCCGTGTTGGTTGATCTCTTCTTTTGAGTGGCTCTTGGTTGGTTAACAGTTAATGACAGGTATCTTTATTCAGCATGTTTATTGGTCGTGGGTCTGAGTAGAAGTATTCTTCTCATAAAACTTGTAGCGAGGTTGTTGTCGCGTACTTTTAAATCTAGCAGACTTGGTTGATACAGTTGGTGGATACGTATGTTTATTAGTTATTTAGTTATCGAGTTATTAATTTATTTCATAATGTTTTTCAACCAGTCAATTAGTCAATTAGTCACTTTGTTAATTAGAACTGTTATTTAGTTTGTTGATTATACCGAGTAGACACTCCCAATGACATAATTGAACATGGGCATTTTCCGGCAAGGAGCTGATCCTATGATCTTCCTGGTTGTTGAAATGTAATTAAAATCCCTAAGTCAATTTGTTAAATTACAGCATATATTTCAGTCATATCTCAGTCATGACAGGATGTGTTGCGGTGATAATGTCACACACCCAAATACGGGGACACTGTACGCAACAATACCCTGCGACTCTGCACCCAGGGTCCCCGGTCCCTGAGTGCAGAGTCTCTGAGTGCAGTGTCTCTGAGTGCACCAGGGTCCCTGAGTGCAGTGTCTCTGAGTGCAGTGTCTCTGAGTGCAGTGTCTCTGAGTGCAGTGTCCCTGAGTGCAGTGTCTCTGAGTGCAGTGTCCCTGAGTGCAGTGTCTCTGAGTGCAGTGTCTCTGAGTGCAGTGTCTCTGAGTGCAGTGTCTCTGAGTGCAGTGTCTCTGAGTGCAGTGTCCCTGAGTGCAGTGTCTCTGAGTGCAGTGTCCCTGAGTGCAGTGTCTCTGAGTGCCAGGGTGCACCAGGGTCCCTGAGTGCAGTGTCTCTGAGTGCAGTGTCTCTGAGTGCAGTGTCTCTGAGTGCAGTGTCCCTGAGTGCAGTGTCTCTGAGTGCAGTGTCTCTGAGTGCAGAGTCTCTGAGTGCAGTGTCTCTGAGTGCACCAGGGTCCCTGAGTGCAGGGTCTCTGAGTCCCCATTACTTGACATAGCTGCATTTGTTCTGTGATCCGTCTCCCATCCTGTTCTTCGTCACACTGTGTAGTGTGTTTATCCCAACTTGGGCTAGCTTACTACTAACTTTGTATCTACGTTTTAGACAGCTCATATCACGGCTTCAGTAAGCTGAATTATTTGATAAATAGTTTGTTTTGTATTTTGTACATGTAGGCCATACTAATAAAAGCAAAATTTTCTATGGAATTGGAAAAGTTTTTCTTATTTCATATCAGTGTCTATCCTTTTTAAATTTTAAACGTATTTCTTTATCTGTATGTGACCGTAATAAATTGATGTCCTTAGTTTTTTAACTGGCTCTCTTATCTTGATCTAGCTGTTTAAATGTAATTACCCTGCCAAGAAGCCAATATGATACCAGGCTTAGAGAATAATAGAATTACGCGCTGACGTATTTGTATTATATTTTGTACCACGATGCTCTTTTTGCCACTTTAAGTTGCCACTATTTCTGTTAGTTCGCCTGTCAGCATTCCAGTGGCCTTCTCAAGAACTACAGTAAAATTACTA